ATGCTGGGGAAGGTTTCCTTAATGAACTTGCGTTTTTCGGGCGTGCCCACTGTAGTGAACACCTCGCAACCTTCTGCGAGGGCCACGTTGATCGCTGCCTGACCTACAGCACCACTTCCTGCATGGATCAGTACCTTTTCCCCTTTTTTTAATTTCCCGAAGTAGAAGAAAGCGTAGAGTACGGTGAAGTAGGCAGACGGAATTGTTGCTGCATCTTCGAGGGACCACTCATCTGGTACTGGCCACACAGTTAATTTATCAGGAGTGACTAGATTCGATATAGCCCTGAATAACAAATTAATAGATGAGTTTATTGACAGACAATTAAAAAAACAAAGCAAATTACAATTGTAAATAATTCATCTTACTTGCTATCTACAAAGCCCATTACTCGCCGACCATTGGAGTCGATGCCGCTGAATTCGAAGCCGATTAAGCAGTCTGTACTTTCTCTTTTGCTTGCTATGGCTTCTGGCATTAGTTTTCCCGTTGCTAGCATCACATCTCTAAAGTTCAAAGAAGCGTACACCACCTTCACGATATTATCGTACTTCGCATCAGGTTGTATTGGACCCTGCATCCACTGAATGGAACTCAAATCTCCTCTTACCTATAATATGATGTGTATAATCTTGGGAAGAAATATACGATTTTAGTCATAATACGTTCACACCCACTTTTAAGTTGACATATCCATGTGGAACTGGAATTGGCTTCACTTCCGGATATGGTACGTGTCTGTAAGTACCCCAAATTCTACCCGGTCTTAAAACATTATAAGCAATGTTTAGGTCCAGTTGTTCAGAGTAAAATGGATCGTTTAATGAAAACTTTGGTGCATTCTTATCTTGAATTATTACAGCCTTGACAATTTCACCATTAGGTTCTCTTCTCAAACATTTGACCATACCTAATAAACCATTCTCCATATCTCCTTCGGCAACTAGCACCAGTCTTGTTGTTTCATTAGTTTTTTTATCTTTCTCGTTCTTCATAATCATTTTCACCTTTTCAATCCAACTGAATTCATTATTGTTTACGTGCACTACCTCTGTTTTCTGAGGTGGCTTCTCTTCTTTCTTCAGAAGCAGTAAAGTCTGCTTATTGAGACTTTTCTCTAAAACGATGTTCAGCCCGCATGATTTAAGGAAGGGAAATGTATCTTTATTAATACCGCTCTCTTGAAGGAGAATAAATCCCTTATCTTCTGTTGCGTGTATTAGCTGCTCTAGAATGTCTGACCTTTTGCTGCTTATAATATCGCATGCAGCTGCCATGAAGACACTCGCGTCTTGCGGCAATTTATTTTCTTCAATTACCGTAACATTCTCGGAAAGTGATAATTCTTCACTTCGACTCGCTTTTGCACATAGAATCAAATTTGGGCGAACCATTGGTAAATTACTTAGAACTTTCATGAAAATAGGGCAAAGAGTTTCTGCAATTGGAACCTTCTCTTCTTCATGAATTATTTCAAGAATCTTTGGAGTAGTTGTTATGTGACTTTCTAACGCTAGTTGGGTGGATAATATTATCATGTCTGCTAAGGGTGTTTGCGCGTTATCACGGTTAGCGACGAACTTGTATTCTTCCAAAACTGGCTCAGCCATTGGTTTTCGTCGTTGAATACTATTAGCCTCTATTCCGCGCATTTCAATTCCTCCGGCTATTACTGCTTTGTAATCTTTGTACACAGATACTGGAATTTCTGTAATTAGAATTTTGTTATCATGTTTCGTATTTGCTTTTAGTGTCGTATTATATTTTTACTGTACTATGTTAGATTACATACCTTTACTATCTTCGGTGAGACGTTGAATTATTTTACTGTGAGCTTTCACGTCTATCGCCAATTTTTGTATGCCTGTTGGTACGTACAGAGCTCTAGTATCGAGTCCCAATATCTGTATTTGTAACATGTTATCCATAAATGCAGCCCAATTTTCGTACCAAGCAATACGTCCTCTGGTGCCCCTGATGGATGCACTTTTCAAGCTACAGAATATTTCAGTATATTCGTACCCACGAAGTTTCAGTTCCTTGTATATATCTTTGCTAGTGAGCGGTTCATCGGTCTCGACTGATTTCAAGTATTTAACATCAATCATTTCTTCTGAGGGATTCGACATTTCACGGATCGATCCCGTCACAACAGTTGTAGACTTTTCTGATATCTCGAATTTCCCGGAACCTGGGGTAATTAGTGCGCAGAGCATGTAGTGAATCTTCATGAAAAATTATACACGTTGAAGAAGAACGTACCTCTATGGATCATGATTGATAAGAAAACTGGCGAAGAAATGTTAGATGCACGTTCAAACTTCACATCTTCGAAAATCACTGATAATTCATTCATAAGCTTTCCTTGCATCATACTAAATGTTTCCCAGACCAGAACCAAGTATCCCGTGGCTGGAAGCAAGTTTCTTCCATCAATTACGTGATGAGCCATATACTTAAAATCGTTGTTTGAAATTACTATTTCAACATTCCTTTCTGCCGTTGTTATGTTCTCGCTTGAGCCAAGTTTTAATACAAATAAATCTTCAGAGTGCTCCCATCTAATACAAAGCATTTCTATTTAGTATTGCTGCAAGTTTATTTTGTACGCAATACATTATATAATGCGTACGTATGTACTCACCTAACGTAGGGCGAGATCATGGGAGTACCACGACTAACCGGAAATTCTACGTATGGATAAAGATTCGCCAATTGTGGTTGCAAACCAGCATTGTATAATTTTCCAAGGGCTTGTAAAAAGTATTCTGCATTGTCGTTGTATCCTCTCAGAGTTAGCGGTACGTTTACTACGTTAGGACCCAGCGATCTTTTCACGATCGCCTGTAGAAGTCCATGGGGCGCGATTTCTATAGCTATCGCGTCAGACGGGATCATTGCAGCAGTTTCCTCGAATAATACCGAGTTCAACAAGTTATTTGTATGATACTCAGCGGATGAGTATTTGGCAGATTCTTTAGACCACTCAGTCTGAGGTACAGAACTGCTCAACCATTTGGAGCTCCTGCGTTTTGGTTCGGGAATCACTTTTTTCAAATATGCCAACAATTTTGTTCCCGCCTCGGCAATATATCGACTATGATATGCAATGTTGCTGCACGCCACTTCTCTGGCGAAGATATTTTTCGCCTACAATAATTAGGAGTTCATAGAAATGATTGTTAAAGATAAATGAAGTACAGTGGAGGGACAAACCGTTAATTCTGCAACGAACTTCTTCATTGATTCAGCTGGTCCACTTATAGTGGAGCTCTGAGAGCTGTTGTGACAAGCAACTTCTATATCAGGTGGACACATGTCCTTTATTTCCTTGTATCCAAGACCAACTGCAGCCATAGAACCTCGAATCATTTTAGTTTCTATGGATGCTAAACCCCTAGAATATGCTGCGAGCACCATTTGTTCAGCCGTAAAACATCCATCAGCGTATGCGCAACCGAGTTCTCCGACAGAGTGCCCGATTATATTATCCGGTTCGATGCCCACGGATGTTAACAGATCAACAAGACCGATCTGAAGGAATATTTTCAGTTCTAGTAGAATACGACTAAGCATAATAGCAAATTTTACAGGCTTTATAAGTATTTTACTTGGACTGCGGCGATCCCAACGAACGAATTTAAGATATTATCGAAAGTCTTCTTATCCTTGTTAGTAAGAATATCGAAGATATCCACACCGTGCGGCTTCAACACTGCAGCGCACTTTTGAATAGCTTTATAGAAAATTGGGAACTTCATCAATGCCTCGCCTATTGGATTGTGAAACGAAATTAGAATTATATAAATCTTCTCCCTGCTGGTTGTCTGCGTAAGTGACATTAAATATTTCCGTATAAGTACCCATGCCAGGCCACTGGGAGCCCATTCCAGAAAAGACAAACCAAATTGGCCTTTTCACGCCAGGATATTGTTGGATCTCTTTGATTGGTCTTCCTGATGTGGAATTAACGAGTGTATAGCCTCTGAACAAATGTCCCGATATTTCCTCGTTATGTATATCGTGTAAAAGTCGGATGTACTCTACGTCCACTGGAATACTTTCCACATAGTCGAGAAGTGTTTTCACTGCTTCTTCTGTGCGACCAGACACTGCTACCAATCGAGGCAAATCATCAGAAGGTGCTCCATTGTTCACTTTCTCCTTCGTGAACGATTTCAGCAAAACGTGAGCATTTGAGCCACCGAAACCGAATGAGCTTATCCCTACGTAGCCACCCTCCCATGGAGTTGGTTCCGTAATTACTTGAAGTTTTCCTTCCTCGAAACATTTCACACCCTTCGTTGGACTTGTAAAATGCAAATTTGGTGGAATTAAACCGCTTTCCATCGCAATAATGACCTTAAAATTTATATGCAATCGTCAATTACATTTTATTGAGGAAGATATCTTTTAAAACATTACGGTTACTACCTTAATCACAGAACAAAGACCACTGGCAGCTTCTGTGTGACCCATATTCGACTTAACAGAACCAATTTTGAGGGGTGTACTTCTGCCCTGACAAAATACTTGATCTATCGCGTTTAATTCCTCAGGGTCGCCCACGACAGTTCCGGTAGCATGACCTTCCAGGTAGGACAATTCATGGGGAGATACTTTGCATTCCTTGTACACTTCAGTCAAGAGTATTTTCTGTACTTGTGAGGAAGGAAACGTAATACCCTGTTCTTTGTAACCATCACTGTTGCTCTTTGAGTGTACGACTTGTGCATAAATTCTTTTCGCATTCTTTGCTTTCTGCAATAGTATTGTGCCTATGGCTTCGCTACGGACGTATCCACTAGCTTTGGAATCGAAACTCCTGCATCTGCAGTCTTTACTCAGCACGCCTAATACGAAGAAAAAAGCCAAATCGATTCACTTGTGTGAAATAAAACAGTACATTAATATTCCGCGCCGTCTTTATTCGCATTTTTTTTATTTCAATTGATTTTTGAAAAATGACGAATGAAATATTTTAAATTGCTTACCACAGTTTGTCATTTCCTGTTTAAGGTGACAATGAAAAATTATTCGTAAATGAATTACTTACCAAGGTTATTAAAATGCATAGATGTATAGGGAAGAAGAGTGAGATTGCCGCCCCCGACAATTACTGCATCGCATATACCTTGTTGAATTAATCTGGAAGCCTGGTCTATTGCAAACATGCTGGAACTGCAAGCTGTGTCTATTGTATAAGATGGGCCACGCAAACCAAAAAAATAGGAGAGTCTATTTGCCAGCATAGATTTACTCAGTCCAGTCAATCGACATCTGTTATCTAACTGAAATTTAATTCAATCATGTACATCCTTATAAACTGGCGAGATATGGAACAAAACATGTTGGATGATTATTAGGTGCATGGCAGTGAACAGTGTGTAAAACATATTTACAGCTTCTGCTTTGAACATAAGGCCCCCTTCTGATTCACTGAAGCAGGCTGCTACAATAACACCTGTGTTGGTTTCCTTAAGCGTTTTGGGATTTATTCCTGCGTCGATTATAGCTTCATATGTCGTTTCGAGCAGTATTCGGCCTATGGGATCCATCGCATTACTTTGCTGGAGATGAATACCAAAAAACATTTCGTCGAATTTCGACAAATTGCGTATTTTACCACCTTGGCTTTGAACCTCCATATGATCTATCCAAATGTGAAATGTTTCTTTCTTATTTAAATGTATACCGGCAAAGAACACAGGAATTGCTTCGAAGCACAATTAGTTCTCAATGTCACTATTCTACGATTTGAGTTGAATTTTAATTACCTATGGGATATCTTGAAGAGTTATCCGTAATCAGATCCACTTTATTCATTAAATTTGTCTTCAATTCTTCTACATTATCGCTCTCCGGAAACTTTCCAGCGATTCCACTAATTACGATCTCCTCCCCTGGTTTTGTCATAGCGGGATTAAATTTCATAGCCATTATATTGCACTATATTTCCGTTTATGTTTTATAATAATAAAGTGAAAACTACAACCAACTTATAACTAACACCACAAAAAGTATAATAATAAATCAACAGAAGTATAATTCTTCCAAGTGCCCCAACTGGATGATTGATCACTGAGAATCTACAGTCACGTAAAAGAGTATTAGGTGAACGGGGAAGCATGTTTTATATCAGCCATCTACAATCAGATTGATTTCATATTCATTTAGCTTATTTACATTAGTCTGTTATCGTTCCTGTCACATGTCATGTTTATGGAATGTATAAATAGCAAACTTGCATTGATTTCAATAGGTTTTCATGTACTTTGCAACATTTTCGCATTTATTAGCGTTTAGCGCTATTATATGACTTTCTAAATTTTTGACACTCACGATGACCTGAAAGTCATACAGTGGTGATGCATAAATGTGCAACACTAAAAAATGCGTAAAAGTTGCAAAGTAAGTCGGTAAATCAAGTAAGGTAGGTAGGTAGTCAGATTCTAATATAAAACCTACTGAAACAAGGCCGGTGTGACCATTTGCGGGGAACGGTTAAAAAATTTTGCGGGGCTAGCAAACACATTTAAATCCTATAGTTAAATTTCACAATAAGAAATTATTTATTATAAGTACAAAGGATGTCACACATATTTTTTGTAAGATGAATATTACATGATTTTGAATCGTTGATTTCCAAGTCATATTTTTTTACATCCATAATTCGCTTTCAAGGGGCAAAAAATTCAATGAAAGTGCAAAATTCATATGACTTTCGCAAAAACTATTTATATAGAATAATTTGTAAATCGTTTTTAGTACAAAAATGTCTTGCAAATTTTGCACTCATGTTAGTGTGCAGCAAGTTGTCATCGATTATCCGATTCCATTTTCCACGCACAATATTCAGTCTATTATATAGGGGTTCTGCAATATGTGTGATGAGATTTCGTAGACCGCGGAGCCTCTCAAAACGCGAGGCCGGATTCCGGCGAACGCGCTGAACCTGCGTCGTGCCGACCCTGTAGTGAAATCAATAAATGAGATTTGCAATTTATACGTTTCATGAATATGACATGTGATAGGAAAATTCTCTGATATGAACGAACTTCACCTCTTTATTATGCAGTCTTTGTGTCTAGTATGAATAGAACTTTCCCACAGAAAATTTAAATAATTGATTCATATTATTTGAAGCAACAATACTGCATATTGAAATTAGAGATCATGCGATAGGAAAAATATAGTACACACCTGGACAAAAAGATAGCACATGTGTGCTATCATTAAGTTCTAATGAATACAGTCAAAATCCTCTAAATTTGACGAGTGGTATATAATCATTACCTCGTTGTAATATATAACTTACAAACTGTAGCTTTACTATTCCCCTTGTATGTATCAATAATGATTTCGAAATACGGTCGGCGAAATGATAGCACACTAATTGTAAGCTTTTCGTTTACATTTCTTAGTCTCTCTGTATTTTAAGTTGAGTAAACGTAGAGTCGTGTAGAGAATTGTTATCTGGAACACTATAAATATTTCTTATAAAAATGGGACGTGGAAAAAAGTTAAATGATGGAGAGATTAAAACAATTTTAGAATTAAGAAAATAAAATTTTTCAATTTCGAAAATTGCGAAATCTATCGACAGAAATAAAAAAGTTATCTATAACTTATTAAAAGATGTTAACAATTACGGTACAAAAAAAGTTGTGGGAAACCTGCTGCGGTTACTGCACGCGAAAAACGTGCCATTTTACGTGCTGCTTTTATGGCTTCAATTATTACTATCACGACGTGAGAAAAGAAAAACTGACACAGGTGCGATCTCAGTTGGGTGAAGGCAGTATTATGCTTTAGGCAGGTATTGGATACAATGGAAAGACCGATTTAATATTTTTTAACGGCAGAATGAATGCTATCATGTATCGTAATTTGATACGAGAGCAAATTAGCAAGTATACAGCACATATTGCTATTGATAATTTCATCTTTCAGCAAGACAATGCTGCAGTTCACACCGCTAAAATCATTAAAGAGTATTTTTTATCGGAAAATATTTCAGTTTTGGACTGGCCAGTGAGCTCCCCTGACTTAAATATTATTGAAAACTGTTGGGGGAAACTTGCTGCAGCTTTCTATAATGAAAATAGGCAATTTGAAAATATTGTTCAACTAAAAAAGTGCCTTAAAAAAGAGTGGGACGATATATCACAAGATTACGTTCGAAAATTGTACCATTCCCACTCAAAACGAATGTTAGAAATTATTGAAAATAAAAGCGGATCGACATACTATTCATAAAATGTATTCTATCTTTGTACATGTGAACATATAATAAATAATAAACAATAAATATGACAATTTTGAAAATGTGCTATCATTTCGCCGACCCTATTTGACATATTTGGTTAATAATTTTAAAAACCAAGAAGAGACGTTTTATTTTCTTTATAAATATTATATTACTATCGGGTACTGTTTATATACCACTCGTCAAATTTCGGGGATTTTGACTGTATTCATTATAACTTAATGATAGCACATGTGTGCTATCTTTTTGTCCAGGTGTGTACAGGGAAAGCTATTATTTCGTTTCACAATTCAAAATAATTTTAATGCAGAATTCAATACTAATTATTGTTAGGAGCGAACCTAACAGGGTCCAGAGGAGAGGAGAAACGGGGTACGCAAAATAAATAAAAGTTATTGCAATTTGGAATTAAAAATGTATTAAACCGACCGCGAAGCGGTCGATTTCCCCAATCACCGTACAATACAAAGCAAAGAAATAATTTGTGTTTCGTAGCGGGGAGTTTCCTCTGTAGGAAAATTTTCTTTGGCGTTAAGTGGCGTAGACATCGAATATTTTCGTTCCCTTTCCCGCATATGTAATTCCGAGAAACCAATGCATATGTACGAGAATTCGAATACGAATTCTCGTTACACGAATTAATAAATATGAACAAGGCCGAGCGATGCTCTTAGATAAAATCGTTGATCTTTAAGCAATTATAACTAAAGTTGCATTTTAATGCCATATATTGATGCATAAGGAACATACTAATGCTTCGTGTACGAGTCAGATATTCCAATACAAACATAAACGTGTAGATATAGTAAAGGTATATATTCTAATAACGTATTTGTAAAACACTGTTCGCAACACACGTTTACTTTCGACATTTTACTTATTTCTACGATATTACTATGAAATTGACGTTTTCGCTTCCTAACTCGGTATGACCGCTTGCCAGACTTAGAGTTTCTTTGAATATTTATTCATCCTCTATTGGTTCGCCATTAATAACAGCCACAACCTTTTTATTATCCAACATCGTTATGTGATTTCCTTCAATCTTGTGCACTGTTACTTTTCCATGCG